CTGGCTACACAAATTCAACAATTCGAAGCACATTAACCGCATCAATTTTCCAGCTAAACAACTAGAGGCCACAACAACAGCAGCAGATCATTAAACATACAAAAGGCAATAAATACACGCGCACGCTGCCATACACACACACACACACACACACACACACTCCCACAGGTCGTATAAGATATGCACATATAAAGAGCTTTGCAGAGAGGTCGCAATTATTTATGCCGAGGCGGCAACAACTTTTGACAAATTTTTTGGCAAAACATTTTGCGTAATAAATTTATTTTAATTACAACGCCAAAAAGTGGGCGTGGGCGTGGCTACGGTCGGTAATGAATGCGCTTCAATTAAATGAAATATTCATAGAGCGTGAGAGCGCGAGTGAGTGAGCGAGAAGGCACTAGCGCAGGCTCCGCCGGAATACCTGCGGCCAAGCATGTTTTATGAGCCAACAGCCGGCACCCAGCTAACGGGTCCACGAGCCCAAAGCTGCCCAACCAGGGAGCATTCGACGACAACACCTACTAAACGAAAAAGTGAGAAAGTGGATTGTTAGCGACAGCCCTAGTACGCTTTCTCTGATAGAGAATATGAGATGAGAGAATATGAGAATATCGGATGGGATAGTGTTGTATAGTATGAAGACAATGTATTTGGGTAGAGTATATTAGCTGAGTGTATATGTGTAGCATATTCAGGGCTAGTATGATATGGTGCGGTCTTTAAAGGAAGAGAAAATATAGCATATACTCTACTATGGTGATCTTATCTTCAGTGTATAATCTCTCATATTTCATATTTAAATTTTTAGCTTTTTCGTTTAATTTCTTTTGAAACCTAATTTATTTATAGTTTATTTATTTATATTTTATTCTTCTTCTTCTATCTTCTCTAAGCTATAGTCTATAGCCTATAGACCATTTATAATCATCTATCTTCCATGCCAATTTAATGCTCTCAACATATAACTGAAAACCCTTACGATCCAGAGTTTATGTCTTTGCTAAAATATCCCCACTAGGGTAGAGTATTCCATGTAACCCCAAATGGCGCAGCAGCAGGCAGCCCGTGCGGAGTCTGTTTGTAGCCCGGTTAGGAGCTTGTTAATTATGGCAGAGCCAACTGTGAGCACTATCCGGCGGTCGGTAGCCGGCAGAGAGCAGCTGGCAGCCGGACATCGGTTCTATGCATCATTCAAACAATTTACCAATTTCGCTTTGTCTATCTCTCTGTGTGTGTGTGTGTGTGTGTGTGGGTGTTTCAGTTGTTGACTGACCACTCATAAAATGTTTATTAGGTAATGAAACATAACAACAAGCGCTGCGCACATAAATTTCAAACGAAGCCTTTGCACTTTGTGCCCCATTTTGGTTCGCTCGTGCGCTGTTTGCGTTGCGCTTCACGGCAAAGAAAATTGCAAAATTTGTTAATTGCGTTTTTGAAGCGGAAACTCCTTTGTCCGCCAACAATCCACCATTCACATTATGTCAATTATGTGTCAAAAAGGAATCAATGACGCTCAAATTTCGCTGAACAGCGTATGATATATATTTTATAATGATATTGAAGTCTTCTTTGTGGATATAGAAGAGCGATAGCAATTGAAAATTGGCCAACGGAATATGCGAAACTGATGAAAATTTATAAATGAGTCAGAGAGAGAACTCATTTTCTCTATAATGCAGACGAAGTCTTGGGAAATTGGGGTATAGTTGCTATCATATCATAGTTAAAGATTTGAGATCTGTAGAATTGAAGAATTGTAAAATTAATATTTATAGGAGACAGTATAATTTTGGCAACAAAGATAGATAAGTCTTGAATCGACCTGATCCTATCCTGCATTCCCTTGCTTGATTGCCCTAAAACTGAAGATATGAAGTGCATACCGCAGTTTAAATATTCTGTAAACTATCGATAGCTTTTAATCGATAAATTATATCTGAGAAAATTCTTAAAAATTATGCCAAAGAGAGAATTGCCTACTTTAGAGTAAAATTTGTATTTATAGTTAGCCTTCAGAAAGATAAATAACCAAAATATCTAAAGCAATCCGAGTGGAAGCTATTCAGCAAATAGCCTTGCTCAATAGCTTCTCACGATTGCTGCTCGTAAACTTATTTTTTTCTAGTCGTCTATCAGAATAGCTGGAACTTAAAGAACGCTTGGAATTACATAATTTAAATATAAAATCTATAATCTTCTATTTATCATATTTTACTTATTCATAAAACCAAAAAATCGTTAAAAATTGATCAAAATCGATATCATATTTTATTATTTAAGCAATTTATATCAATTTATATTATTCCACTCTCCATAATCTCTCTCCCATCTATATACATATATATATATTACTCGTCTACTGTCGATCAATCGTCACAAGCCAAATCCGTTGCCAAACGCATTTGGCAAACAAATGCACGAAGCGTGCGCATCAAAGTATGCAAAAGTTTTCTGCTTCTGCTTCTTCTTCGTCGTCTATTATTGAGAGGGGCGGTGAGAGGCGTGTCACAACCGCAGGCAACGATTTGCACTTCCACTTGACTTAAAGTATGAGCAGAGCGGGAGCCAAGCGAGTGAGAGAGGGGCTTGTGGCTCGCAAAGAGGGGAGGGGAAGGGGGCAACTGTCACGTGGTGAAGTGTGCGTGGCAAATGCAGAAAATGTATTTATGCAAAAGTTGCAATTGTCAGCGCTGGTGCAAAGTGCAAAAGTGTTGCGCGAAATCAACGACAAGTATTCGCTTACACACATACACACACACACACACATAGACAGACAGACAGACAGACAGACTCACTGATATATAAAAGAGACAAACTGTGGCAAGTTTATGCGGCGCTGTTCGTGATATGTTTAGTATCAAAATGAGATTATTTTGCTTGTGATAAATTTTCTAAAAATTCTCAAATAGTTTTATGCCAAGAAACATTGAGTTGAAAAGCATATTAAGTATCTAAAAATACATTAATAATGTAAAAATAATGGGCAATGAAAATACTTCGAAATATTTACAAATACTTTTATTTTATACATTAAAAAATTAATAAAAATAAATGACATCAATAATTGGAAACTATTTTAACATATTAAAAAAAAATTAAAATAAAAATCATATAATCAAATAATAATTGAAATAAATTCGATTTGGAAAAATTAGGATGTAAGATTAAAAAAAAACTCATTTATATAATAATAATATATAAAGAAATATTTTAGTTTATAAAAAATATATATATATATTTTGGTAACAAAAAAAATGTTTTTACTTTTTTTACTTATCAAAATATAAAATATAATAAACTTAAAAATTTTTAGAAAAGTAATAGATTAAAATATGGTGATTATTGCTATTATTTTGATTCATTAAAGTTCTTGCAATAATTTTATAAAGTGTCTAAATCTGAATGTGTTAAAAAATATTAGGAAATATATTAAATTCTACAGCCCATAGGCTGTTGACTGTTCCGTTTGTAGCTGCTCTTGGAATTTCTAAGATTTGAATTTTACAATCCTTAAGTTTTTATTCCCCGAACCAGGCACCATTTGTACCTTGAGTTGCTATTCAATATTTATTTTTCAATTTTCACCTGAAACTTATTCAAATAAAAACTCAAACGCATAAACCCATATACTTATGCTTTCACACGAACACCGCAAACTTTGACAAGCGTTGACTTTTCAAATATCCTAACACACACACACACACACACACACACAGACACTCACCACACATACATATTTTTGTTGGTAGACTTTTTGTGGAGTGAGCTCAGAGCGCACCTGGCTGAGTGTTTTGGTATTTGAAATGAGTTTTGCATTGCCGAACTGTCGCCAAGTGTTGATTATGTTTCGCAGCTTTTGTCACATAATACAGATAGATATATATATATTTATATATATATAGTTGAATGATATATTGAATGCACTGCTCGTCGACTCGATTTGCATTCATGGCCCGATGCGCTTATTGAACGCAAATGCATTTGGAGCGGCAATCCATTCAAAATATATATAAATATATTTCTAGTATATTTCCTCATAGAGTATATTTATATACATATAAATAATTTATTTGTATATTTTGCATATAGAAATACAAGTATTTATATTCAAATCGCGTGCTTAGCCGAAAGCATTCAAAAACTTGCTGACCCATTTGCATGTGGAATAGGGTTACGCACTCACACGCGTGCCATAATAATACCCTGTTGACTGGGACTGTATTGCTCTATCAATGTAGAGCAGTAGATAGTGGATTACTGTTAGGCATAGTAGTTAAGCTGTGACTTTAACTTAGTTTTCTCTTAAGTAAAAGCTTTAGTAGGCCAATAGAAATTATAACTTAAAGCATTAGAGTTAACCATCGATACTTATATGTACTCTTATCGATACTTAACTATCGCATATAGAGAAGTGAATTCAATTCGAACGGAAAGACGTGAATAGATTCGTATAAATAATTAAGATAAATTTGGAATAAAAACTTTAAACGTAGCTCATATTTTCAATTGTTCTAAGAACGGGTAAATGAAATACTAGAAATATTATATTATAGCATAAGGCAAAGCGAACCAGCTACTTTTTCATATATCATATTACACCCAAGTCTATTAGATGTTAAAGTATATTCTAAAATTATCTTAAGATATATATTTTAAAAATTTAAACTAAATTTATATACTTTTCTTTACCTATCCATGAAAATATCTGCCAAAATATTTCTTCAATATATTTAGGATAAGTTTCTCAATAATTTACAGGGTATTTCTTGGGTGTCATTTCGCTTTCATCTCACAAAATTCTGCCATTTATACTATGGACAAAATTAAGCCCAATTAATGGGCAACTAAACATGAATTTAAAGCGCATTTTAATAGAGTTTTTAATTAAATTAAATTTTTTTTTGCCATTTCAACATTATTTATTAGCGAGCTTAACAAGCACTAAACTATATCGATTTACCAAGCCCTCCTCTGCTTCTTCTCTCTCATTGCAGCCGACATTATACAGGATTTAGCAAATTAAACTAATTGCCAGTTAAGAGACAGCAACAACAACAACAACCAAACAACCAAAGCAACAACAGCAAAATATTTAAAAATATTAAAAAATGAAACATAATTTAAAATGAACAACACGTTTTGACATTAGCATTAAGTAAGTAAAGCGAGCGCAAAAATACCATTAAATTCTGCACTGTTTTAGGTATTTAAGTGGCATTTAAAAATATGCATTACATAATTTTTGTAGGTGTCTGCTAAACGGAGAAAAAAAAAAGAAAACATGAAATGTGAAGCAAAACAAAAAAAAATGCAAAAACGTGAGAAATCCGTTCATGTAAAACAAAATTTCGACCAAAAGCAAAAACTAAACAAAAAAACTTAGATTTAATACCTAGTGTATAAATAAAATACTTAAAATACCATAAAAAATACTCAACAAATATACATGTATATTAACTTAAACAAAGCGTGCACTTTAGATAAGTTTTGTAGCATATACAAAAATAGGAGCTAGAGGAAATTGAGTTGAAAAAGTATACGACATTTTAATGCACTACAGAAGGTGCTCTTGCAGTGGATGCGATTTGATTATGCGATGAGGGAATCGGAAAAGGAAGTTTGTTAGCAACTGAGGAGAAGCTTGTCGTAAAATTCCTTGCAGATACTACGGATAATGATAATTCACAATGAAAGATCGAAAATATATAGAAAAATTCGTTTAATATCAGATAAATACTTTTTAGTATGTGATGAATCTTGTGAGGGAATCGGATAAGGAATTTGGTTAGCTACTGAGGGGAACTGAGGAGAAGGAATAATATTTATATGCATACATATATTATATATCCTTGTAGTCTCTACAGTGTCTGATACTTTTTTCTTTCTTCTGATCAAAAATAGTCCTAGAAATTCATTTTAATTTACATTGCTGCTAAATACCTTTTATTAAGCAATGAATCTTGTGAGGGAATCGATAAAGGGAATTGTGTAGAGGCAATAACCTATGCATATACCTTATATTCCTGGTAGTTTCTACAGTGTCTCATGAAGATATATATACTCGTAATACTAAACCGAAAATAGTCACAGAAATTCTAGTCAATCGACAGGATGATTACCTGTGTTTGATTTGATTTTCCATTTTCGCTATTTTCCCATCAACATCTGCAAATAATATATCATATATCACATATTCCCTACACCGCGAATTAGGCCATTTGACTAACATTTCGTATTGTGATAATTATGTATATTTATGTATGTAAGTATGTGTCTATGAATGTGAGCCATTTAATTATAAAATGTGGCCAAATTGTTGGTTGTTCATTTGGCGAGCATTGAAAATGTGCGACAAATGCAAATAGCCAGAAAATTCGGATTGAATTCGTTGTAAAACCAAAAGCCAAACACAAAAGCCACCTTTGAGGCTGCAATTGTGCGAAAATCTATACAAAAATTGTGCGGTCAATATGGAAAATTTAGCAAAAATTAAATAAACAGTTATTGCAGAACAACACATGCACACTCACACATACACACACACATGCTACACTACAACAAAATCGTATTTTAATTGCATTTACAATATGTGGAAAAAAATGAGACGATTGGCTCAGCGAGTCGCATAGAAAATACTCTGAAGCTAGAAATTTTTAGTTGAGTCATTTTTTTGTTGAGGCTAACTATTTTTGGAATCATCACTAATAAATTATAAATTCTTTTGCCTATCGATTAACATTTTCATAGCAATTATTTTCGATATTTAATCATGAAATGAGAAATTCTCTAAAAAAATGTCCGCATAAAAATATTTCATATGTGACCGATAAGCTGTCCCTGTTTAAATTAATTACTATTTTGTTTAAATCTCCCTTTTCGATAACCATTCCGATAATATTTGTTATCTAATTGCATTGATATAATTGAAAGATAAATAATATTCTCTATGGATTTGCTACCTTGATAGAAATTTCTGTAGAAACTTCTGTAGCAATAGATGCTATAATGAATGTGTGCTATTCACGTATATCGATAACTACCTGTACACCTATATATCGATATATTTGTTGCATATATAGTGGATAATATAATGAATGTTTTCTATTCATGTATATCGATAACTATCAGAACATCGGCCACCTATCTATTTGTGCTATTATAACGGATAATATAATGAAAATGTGCAATTCATCGATGACATCGCTTAAATTAATAGAGATGCAACAATGATAAGCTCGACTATCGATAGGAATATGTTTCAAAGCACAGTCTCAGACATAGTAATTTGTACTAGTTCAGCCATTCTGCATAGTATTTCATAGCGAAATCAACGTATCCACTGCATAGAGTATGCCGCGATAAAAAAAGATAGAAAAAATAAACACAATCGAAACCTATTGAAATGGCAAAGGCCACTCATTAGCCTTTGTTTTTGTGTGTCACTGAGTGTGAGTGAGTGTGTGTGTGTGTGTGTGCGAGTGTGTGTGAGTGGCTTATTGAGTCGAACAATGCGCGGGTGAAGGATGATCAACAACTAATTGCACTGCTAATTTCAATTGTTGCATTGTCGTCGCTTATAATCACGAAAATTGTAATTACAAATTACAATTGAGAGCCCGTTTTTACGCAAATTAGATTGTGCAAATGCTGTAAATTAATTTCGAGAGCCGAAATTGCCGTTGACAAAATCAAAGCGCAAAATTTCAATTTATTTGCCGCATTCTTCGGGCCTAATTGCCCAATGCGCAATTAACTAGGACAACCAAATGCCATTTACCAGCTATATATTTATTAAGGCGCTTAAAGGCCAAGAAATTCCAAATCCACTCTGATATTATCACAGTGAGCTGTAAATAGATTCTATATTAAATTCTGTAATAAGCCACAAATGTGAAGAAAACAACATTAATGATGAGAATAGAAATTTTATAACTTAGATATTGACACCAAAATTATTTCAATTTCTTCGAATAAAATGGATTTTATGGCAATTTATATGTGTGTATATATTCATATATATACAAGTCTATATTGTGAATGGCTTCTGTTTCAATTTTACGTTACTCTGCTGCTGCTCACGTCTTCCTCCCTTAAAATAAAATAGAGAAATAATAGACACAATGTTGTTAATTGATTATTTAATTTTTTTATTTTTTTTATTTTTCAATACTTTCCAATTAATATGAAATGAATAAAATCCAATTTATATTTGTTTATCTAATGCAATTATGTTTATTTCAATATGATATTCATGTATTTTCGCTGCCCTTTCTTTATATTCAATCTACAATTTCAATCATTTACACAGATAATTAGCTTTTTAACATTTTTTATTCCGCCTCTCTCCCCTTCTCTTTCTCGCTCGCTCAGCAAGACTATAAGCTCACTCAGCTCCCTGCCATAAAGCCCACCTCTATGCGAATCTAAACTCTTGCACGCATTGCTATAAACTAAATTTTGAAGCACATTTCTCCATTTACTCTGCCAAAAAATAAAGGAAAACAAAATGAAAATGAAGTAGCAAAAATGCAATTTTCATGTTTTCGTGTTTTTGGCAACGAAATAGGTTGTAAAAAAAAAAATAAAAAATAAAAAAACACACACAAAGAATATAAAACACTAAATTAGTTTTTTATATATTTGAATATATAAAAATAAAAATGCTAAACTATTACAAACTATGTGCGAAATATAAGCTGCGGTAGCATTTTATGCAAAACTTGAACCAATTTGATTTTACTTTTGGAAAATAAACATGAAAATTTAAAAAAAAAAAAGGATTGCATAAAAAACTGATTTTTATTCCAGCGAAAAGTGTAATTGAGGCATTTATTTTGATATCAAATAAACAAATAAGCCACTCAAAAAATCCAGAAAACAAAAAAAAAAACCCAAACAAATTTTTAAATATATATATATAGAATAGAAGAAGTAACTGCTAGCAATGTAGATATCCTGTAATTTTATGTGTTTACGTATTGTTTTATATTAATTTTATTAAAGAAATTTTAAAACATGAAATACTTATATAAAGAACAAATAAGAAAATAGCTAATAAAAATGCAAATACCCTGTACTCGACATCAATTTGATTTGCCATAGTCAATGACTCTCTCTTAATTCGAATACCCCACTTATAAATGTGTTTTAATGTGCATGGGTATTCTCATAGGAAATACAAAAGTCAACTTCATTCACTGCATAACCCATTTAATATTAATCATAGTTAAATAATAGCAAATAAAAAATTAAAGTATGTTAAATAATTTAATCATATTCATAAAAAAAAGTAATTATATAAAGGGAAAGCGCAGCGGAATACATTTGATATTAGCAGAATAATTGTAAGCACTTTGTATATACATATATAAAATATTTACATAATTAATCATAATTCATAAAATATGAACTTGAAAAAATAAGATTTATTGTATTGTAGTATGTGCAAGAATTTAATTGATTAATTCATGTAAATACACAAATATAACTAAAAAAAAAAAAAAAAAAAAAAAAAAACTCAAATGAAAGCCAATATAAATAGTGTAGCAAAGAATTGATTAATTAAGAGTTCAGTAAGCAAAATAAATAATATACATAAATAAATAAAAATATAGAAAAATATGTTAAAATTTATTATACATTAAGAATGCTCTTTAATTATTATTTTTTTTTTTTTTTTTAATTGTAAGTTATTAAAAATTATAATTAAAACATAATAGAATTTTTTTAAATATTTTTCTATCAATTTTTTTTTTTTTTTTTTTTTTTTTTTTATTAATCACTTAACGTTATTTTTGATGTTCTATCTTCGAGTGTTTTCTCAGTCGTGCTTCTACCTAAGTCATATTCGAATTATTATTATAAGCCCTTGCATCTATGTGTTTAGCTCTAAGATAAAAAGATAAAGTAAAATAAAAATAAAATGAATTGAATCAAAAATAGTCCAACAACAAAAGCAGTGTAAGTAGTTCTTTAAGCCAAACAGATTTGATGTGCAATTAATTTTCACTTTTTCTCTCTGTAAACTAAAGAAACCAAAGTAAAGAAAATTAAATTTAAACATACATAAAACATATACATACATATATGCATAACTGAAACCATATACGATTTGCGTAGATGTTGGTCGCCAGGCGCTCCAAGCATTTTACTTAAACTAAATTTTAACTATACAAAATTAGCTGGTAAATACGAAATATATAAAATATCTATACGATATTATATGCATATGAGATATAACTAATATGAATAAACTGAAAATGTAAAACTCTAAAAAAGCGTCTCACTCTCTTCTTATTGCACTTGGCAGGGCATCTACTAGTCGAGCAGTTTCGACTAGAGCAGCACTCTGGCTTGTTTTTGATTGTTTTGATCGAGTAACGGGGCAGTCGCCTATTTTCTAGGCTACAAACACAACACATTATATATATTTATATATGTATACATACATATTAATATAGATATATATATATATCTATACATGTATCTTTCGATGCATGTATAGCACAAGCAATGGGCAGCAAGAAATGGAGTTTCCTCTCCGAAATGGCAGCCATCTGGCTGCTGTTGATGATCTACGTGCTGCTGCGGCAGGCGAACAAGGTGCTCGTCAAGATCATGAGGCGACGGGCGGCGGTGGCTAGCCGTCGGCAGCTGGCGATGGCCTCAGCAATGTACTACAGTGAAACAACGACAGCTACTGTGGCAACGGCAACAACTACAACAGCAACGGTGGCAACAACAACAGCCGACAAGTCAACAAAGCGCAGAAAGAGCAAAAGAAGTCGAGATGCTGCCGCTGCCGCTGCTGCTGCGGCTTCAGCTGCTGCTGCTGCTGCTGCTCTGCAGGTAAATTGAAAACGACAAAAAATTTATTCCAATTGTTTTGCAGGCACAATTAAAAAAAAAAAAAGACAGGCGCACAGAGTGTGCTTCTCTCTCTGTGTGTGTGTGTGTGTGTGTGCTGGCAAACCGCAAATGGTGACATTGCGCAAATAAAAAACAATTTACGATAAACATCAAATTTCCACAAATTACCTTATATTTTACGTGAGTTGCGAAACAGATTGTAAACCACACGCAGACACAAGCGGCACACACACACACAGAATGAGAAAGAGAGAATACACACACACACACAGACGCACACTGACAACAAAAAATGGCAACAATAATGGCAGCAGCAGCAAAAAAAAAAACCGCGACGCGCTGATTTTACAGCACGTTGAGCATTCGCCTCGTTGGCCATTGTTTGCACTCTGTGGCACCGGGGGTCAGGGTTCAGGTGTGCTCTCTGCCTGCCACTCTCCCTCTGTCGCTGTCTCCCCCTCCTCTTTGTATGTGCTTTAAACGTAGCAGACACGCCTACACTTAAATTTCGAAATTTGCAATTATTTTTATTGCTCGCCATTTTCGCTTGCTGTTTGCGCTGCGGCTTTGCCTTTTTGCCAGCCACTCGACAAAATGGCAACAGCAGCACGGGAGGGGGGAGCTATGGAAGTAAGTGGATAGCTCTGCGGCGGGGGTGCAGTCAAGTGTAGGGCTCGCCACTTTGTAGTACCCATCATAAATTTACCAAAAAAAAAAAAAAAAAAAAAAATAAATAAAAGCAACAACAAGCAAATGCGCTCTAGTTGAGTTGCGTTTTTCCCTCTCCCTCTCTCTTTCACTCTCCTCACTCCTCTTTCTTTCTGTGTGTGTGTTTAGGAGATGCTCTGCGCCTATCTCGGCAATTGGTATTCATATGAGCTTCTGATTTGGTATAATTGATTTGAAAGTTAACTTTAAGATTATTTTTAATGTATTTTTTTATCATTTCATTTTTCAGTATTTTTTCAGTACTAACTAATTGTAGTTAAAATAATTTCACAACCTAATCCCATATTTTCTGTTACTGTTTATTTATTTATTTTTTTTTTTTTGTCTTAAGTATTTCTTATATCATGTCAATAATTGTTATTTGTATTTAATTTCGGTTAGATTACCAATTAGATTATTTTTTATTCTATTTTTTAGTATTTTGTTTTAAATTTTAGAATTTTTTTTTTCTATTTGGAATAATTTCTGTTGCATTTTTTTATGAAAATTTTAATTTTAATTTTTTATTCCAATAATTGTTGATTGTATTTATAAAAACTATTTGTTTTTTATTAGTTAGTATTTTATGTTAATTCTAATTAATTCTATTTAGAATAATTTCTGTTTGATTTATTTATATTTATATTATTTATTTATTTATTTATTTATTTTTTTTTTTTTTTTTTTTTTTTTTTGTTTAGTCGTATGCCATGCAAAAATTGACTAAGTTCAGTAATCCTTAAAAAGTGTTTATGCCCATTCACATACCAACAGGGTATTCAAAGTTGCACATATCTTAAATTTATCTGTCGTTCTATACATACATACACTGTTATGTACATACACTGATATGACTTTGTTATGACAGCAGAAATTGTCATGTGTTTGTCATCCGATAAAGGTCAAAATTTCTATTGCATGGGCTTTGCCTTCATACCTTGCCACAAATACTGTTTTTATTGAAATATTTACTTTAAATATATATGTGAGTGTGTGTGGCCAGTGCTGTTTACAGCCAGCTCACAGCTCTTAGCTCCCAGCTCCCAGCTCCCAGTTCCTTCTGGTTGCTTTAATGTCAAGGCTATTTTCGATAGTAAATCAAATGTCCCAGAGGACGTTGCGTGTGTTGATAAGCCACTAAAGTAGCATAAACAAGAGGAAGAGGAGAACAGCAGGGGCAGTGGCTTATAGATAGAGCGAGACAGAGTTTCGACATTTTGCTAGCTATTTTTAGCAGTGGCCAAAGGTCACTTTCATCATTTTTCAATTGTAGCCGACATGACCTCATCGAAGCTGAGTTGATAAATTATAGCTTATAGATCAAAGACTTCGCTCTATCTCCATCTCTGTCTGTGCAATGTCATTTAGCCAACTAGAAATGCCTTAGGCAACAATTTCTGTAGCTTTCTCTGCATTTTCAAATGACATTCTCCAGCTACATATGCGTTAAGCTCTCAGCTAACCCCACACACACACACAGCAATACACACGCACACACACACAAACAGAGCGCTTAGATATGTTGACAAGCTGCTCTAAATTGTAGAATATGTAGCTTTCTGCTTTGGCGTGCTCTAATTGTGCCCGTAGGTGGCTCCATTTTCAGTTGTCCTGGACTATCACATTGTTTGTATGTGTGTGTGTGTGTGTGTGCGCACAGAGTTCAATAATCCCCGAGTCCTCGCGCAGAATGGGCCAGCGGGCAAATAATTAGGCGCGTCTTTGGCCTAAGCTCGAGCAAGCAATTCGAGCCACAGCAAAAATGTGATAAGTAGCCGTAAAGTAGGCAGCGAACAAGTGGTCAGCGGCAGTTGCCTAGCAGTTAGCAGCAGTCAAGGCCCCGACGGGCGCCGCCAATGTAATTAGAGAGCATTAGGATTAGGCTTACAAATTTCCAGCTGAAGGCCAACTGGCTAAAACAGGGCAGAGAGAAATTGAGAGGAAGGCATCCTGCATCCGGGGTATATCTGTGGGGAACCTGTAAAAACTTTTCACAAATAAATCAACTTTATGATGCGTAACAGCAGCAGCAAGGAGGAAGTGTAGGAATCAGATCCACAGCGACACCATTTAACTGACAATAGCCCGAGGCAAGGTGAAATACTTCCAGGATAACAATAAAAAATACGTTCCCCCACTTTAAAATGTGCTACAGATGCAGATACAGATACACAGATACAGATACAGTTACAGTTACAGATACAGATACAGATACAGATACACAGATACAGATACAGTTACAGTTACAGATACAGATACAGATACAGATACAGATACAGATACAGATACAGATACAGATACAGATACAGATACAGATACAGATACAGATACAGATACAGATACAGATACAGATACAGATACAGATACAGATACAGATACAGATACAGATACAGATACAGATACAGATACAGATACAGATACAGATACAGATACAGATACAGATACAGATACAGATACAGATACAGATACAGATACAGATACAGATACAGATACAGATACAGATACAGATACAGATACAGATACAGATACAGATACAGATACAGATACAGATACAGATACAGATACAGATACAGATACAGATACAGATACAGATACAGATACAGATACAGATACAGATACAGATACAGATACAGATACAGATACAGATACAGATACAGATACAGATACAGATACAGATACAGATACAGATACAGATACAGATACAGATACAGATACAGATACAGATACAGATACAGATACAGATACAGATACAGATACAGATACAGATACAGATACAGATACAGATACAGATACAGATACAGATACAGATACAGATACAGATACAGATACAGATACAGATACAGATACAGATACAGATACAGATACAGATACAGATACAGATACAGATACAGATACAGATACAGATACAGATACAGATACAGATACAGATACAGATACAGATACAGATACAGATACAGATACAGATACAGATACAGATACAGATACAGATACAGATACAGATACAGATACAGATACAGATACAGATACAGATACAGATACACAGATACAGATACACAGATACAGATACACAGATACAGATACACAGATACAGATACACAGATACAGATACACAGATACACAGATACACAGATACACAGATACAGATACAGATACAGATACAGATACAGATACTTAAAGTAAAGTCTCAGTGCATTTCATGTTGAACAATAATTTAATGAACATCTCAGGCGATAAGCTTCTCTTCCCTTCTCTTCTCTTCTTCACTTTCTTCCCTGCCCCACTTCTTTCTCTTCCTCTTCTTCTTCACGGCTTCTGCTTCCGCCAATGACAACTTAAATTGATGAGGCGTCAGCATCAGACGCGCATTTCCATGCAGTTTTCTAAGCACGCGAAGAGCCAAGATGAAAATGCGCCCCTGTTCGCTTCTCTCCTCTCCTTACCGCTCCTCCTCCCCCTCAGCACGCCTCCACACTGGATTGGCAATTGGCGTAGAGCGACGCGACAAACCCGCAAAATCTAATTTGGCCCAAACCACCAAAGCAATTAAAGTTGCCAAGCGGACGAACGGTGTGAACCACTCAAATCGACTATGCGAGTGTGCGACTGTGCCAGTCTGTGTGTGTGTGTGTCTGTGTGAGTGTGATGGTCAATAAATACACTTCACATTTGCACGAAAATTTACCGTTGATTTACGCGTATTCTGCATTCGCTCAATTTGGCCAACAAATGCGACGCGTTTTAATTAATTTTCACACAACCGAAAAAATTTGTGTCCTTCAAAAAAAAAAAAATTCTTTTATATCTTTGCACCTGTTGGGCGTACCCAACAATGTGATACCTGTTCAGAGAGTCAAGTGTAGAAGGGGGATATAAATGTAGAGAAATATATATATATATAGAGAGAGAGAGAGAGAGGGAGAGTAGGAGTGAGATTGTGAGTGAAGATATAGGGATATAAATGTAGCAGGAGATAGAGAGAGGGAGAGTGGGAGTGACAATGAGAATGAGATTGTGAGAAAGATCAAAAGAGGAAAGGGAATACCACAGAGAGGAGAACTGCATCTTTTTCAAAGGCATAGAAAGACAGATAAAGGAATGGAGAAAACAATAAAGAAGAAAATACAGTAGAGCAGAGACATAGAAGAATGTAAAAAGAAAAGGAGAGATAATGACAGAGAGAAGTAAAATGAAACATATATATAAAGCATATATAAAATAGACAAATAGATACCGAGAGAAAGAGAAGTAGATCGAAAAAAAAAATTGAGAAC